CTGCTGATGGGCATCTAGGTTGCTTCCATGTCCTGGCTATTGTAAACATTGCTGCGATGAACACTGGGGTGCACGTGTCTCTTTCAATTCTGGTTTACTCGGTGTGTATGCCCAGCAGTGGGATTGCTGGGTCATATGGCAATTCTACTTCCAGTTTTTTAAGGAATCACCACACTCTTCTCCAGAGTGGCTGTACTAGTTTGCATTCCCACCAACAGTGTAAGAGGGTTCCCTTTTCTCCACACCCTCTCCAGCATTTATTGTTTGTAGACTTTTTGATGACAGTGTGTGAGATGGTACCTCATTGTGGTTTTGATTTGCATTTCTCTGATAATGAATGAGGTTGAACATCTTTTCATGTGATTATTAGCCATCTGTATGTCTTCTTTGGAGAAATGTCTGTTTAATTCTTTGGGTTACTTTTTGATTGGGTCGTTTATTTTTCTTTTTGAGCTGCATGGGCTGCTTGTATATTTTGGAGATTAATTCCTTGTCAGTTGTTTCATTTGCTATTATTTTCTCCCTATCTGAAGGCTGTCTTTTCATCTTGCTTATAGTTTCCTTCATTGTGCAAAAGCTTTCAAGTTTAATTAGGTCCCATTTGTTTATTTTTGTTTTTATTTCCATTACCCTGGAGGTGGGTCATAGAGGATCTTGCTATGATTTGTGTCGGAGTGTGTTCTTCCTTTGTTTTCCTCTAAGAGTTTTATAGTTTCTGGTCTTACATTTAGATCTTTAATCCATTTTGATTTTCTTTTTGTGTATGGTGTTAGAAAGTATTCTAGTTTCATTCTTTTACAGATGGTTGACCAGTTTTTCAAGCACCACTTGTTAAAGGGATTGTCTTTTCTCCATTATATATTTTTGCCTCCTTTGTCAAAGATAAGGTGTCCATAGGTGTGTGAATTTATCTCTGGGCTTTCTATTTTGTTCCACTGATCTATATTTCTCTCTTTGTGCCAGTACCATACTGTCTAGATGACTGTAGATATATTGCAACCCCTTGGACTGTAGCCTGCCAGGCACCTCTGTCCATGGAATTTTCTAGGCAAGAATACTGGAGCGGGTTGCCATTTCCTACTCCAGGGGATCTTTTCGACCCAGGAATTGAACCTGCATTTCTTGAGTCTCTTGCATTGGCAGACAGATTTATATATATATATATATATATATATATACATATATATATATATATATTTTTTACCACTGAGCCACCCAGGAAGCCCAATAAAACAAAATAAAACTACCCATTTCACTTTCTTATTTTCTGTAAGTGATCCACTTGGCAAGTGTGCAGTGGCTAAATCCAAGAGTAGGTCCCAGTTTTGGGGACCAGAGATTCACAGTTATTTCAGGACCGTTGATTGAAATGTGATTTGATGTGAGAAATGGGAAGAGTGGAGGCAGCCAAGCCCAGGTAGGATTCCAAGTGGGCACATGACTGAAATGCACAGACCTTTGTTTTCATGATTTTAAAATATAGGAAGATAATGTTAACTTTACATTGGCTCGAATTAGAGTAAGTGAAATAACCTGTTTATAGTAGATGCTCAGAAACTGAAGCGTGTTCCTTCTTAATCTCCTGCCTGAATATATCTCAGAGACACATGATGATTGCAAGGGGGGAGGTGCCATAAAAACGCGACTGTTTTAGTCCAGATTTGTCATCACTACCTATAAAATACACACTCTTCTATCTCTGAAAAAGGCAAGTGAGGGGTTTTATTGCCAGGTCTTATAACCAGACAACTTGAGTGATAACATCACTGGAAGGTATACTTTTTTAGCATTTGTACTAACTTCCAATAGAGAAAAAAAATGTTTAGAAATGTTAGATGAGTCATTCATTTATCAGATGTCTTTTTACGTACCTATTATGTGCTGGGCAGTGTACACATGGTAGAAATAATAAACCATGAAAATGGTAAACTTAGCCTTACTCACATTTGAGTCAAGTTTTACATAATGTATTTTTAAAAGAAATTGTGTTTTGTGATTTATTTATTTTTGTGTCTACTCAAGTATCTATCATGATACCTTTGACAGAAAAGTTGCCGGATAAACCACCACTGAATGAAGAGTGTTTAATACATCTTTACCAGTGAAATGATTATTCAAAAATGTTTGCTTTTGGGGGTCAATTTACAGAAATATTACTTGACTCACTTACTGTCCCTGAAAAGAGAATATAGCAAAATTATACAAGCCAAATTTCAGACATGTAAACACACCTTGATAACACCACACAGGGAAGTTAAAGTGTACTGGTGAGTATGTGCCGTGCTGTGCAAGTCGCTTTCGTCATGTCCGACCCTGAGACTCTTTGGACTGTAGCCCCCCAGGCTCTTCTGTCCTGGGGATTCTTCAGGCAAGAATATTGGAGTGGGTTGCCGTGTCCTCCTCCAGGGGATCTTCCTATCCCAGGAATTGAACCCGCGTCTCTTACATCTCCTGCATTGGCAGGTGGGTTCTTTACCACTAGTGCTACCTGGGAAGCCCACTCATAAGTACACTTTGATTCAATACTTTGCCTAAATAATTATTATTACAAGAGGAGTCCATTAGTGAGATGATTTTATATAAATTATGGAAGTTACATTCTTCTTTCATAATTTGGAGGTGGTTTAGGATTCAGAATAGGTCAGACCAGGTTTGGGGCTTCCCTGATAGGTCAGTGGTAAAGAATCTGCCAGCAATGCAGGAGACCTGGGATCGATCCCTGGGTTGGGAACATCCCCTGGAGAAGGGAAAGGCTACCCACTCCAGTATTCTGGTCTAGAGAATTTCACGGACTGTGTAGTCCATGGAGTCTCAAAGAGTCAGACATGACTGAGTGGCTTTCACTTTCACTTTTTAAATTGGGCTTCCCTGGTGGCTCAGCAGTAAAGAATTCGTATATAATGGCAGGAGACGTGGGTTCGATCCATGGGTCGGGAAGATCACTGGGGAAGGGATAGGCTACCTACTCCAGTATTCTTGGGCTTTCCTTGTGGCTCAGCTGGTAAAGAATCCGCCTGCAATGCAGAAGACCTGGGATCGATCCCTGGGTTGGGAAGATCCTCTGGAGAAGGGAAAGGCTACCCACTCCAGTATTCTGGCCTGGAGAATTCCATGGACTTCAGGGTCGCAAAGAGTCGGACATGACTGAGCGACTTTCACTCACTCCTACACTCAGACAAAGTTTAATTCTGGCTCTACCACTTAACTTCTTTGAGCCCCAATGTCCTTACGTTGACATGGGAATTATAACTCCAGCATATGATTGTGGCATGGAATAAAAATGAAAACTTCCCAGAATTCTTCAACTGTGAACTTTAGAGCCCTGGAAAGCCTTGGAAAATACTGTGAAAGTTCTACAGGTCCATATGTACCCACCTAATGCCTCTAGTCTATCTAGAACATATGTGCATTGCTGATTCTCAAAGGCATGTAAGTTAATTCAAAATTCATTCATTTAGCAGCTGTTTATTGAGCACTCAGAAAAACACAGCACCAGGCACAGGGAAAACATTCATAAACAAAATAGACATATCTCTGTGTTCATGGATCTTCTTTTCTAGTGTGGATAGAGGATAACAATACACAAGATAATAAAAGTCTGTTGGAGAATGATAAAGATTAAGATGAAAAAGGAGAGAAAGGAGTATAAAATATCAAAAAGTAGTGTTACAATTTTAGATAGGGTGGCCAGGGAGGGCATCTCTGAGAAAGCCTCACGTAAGGAAGTGAGGGAGTTAACCAGATGGATATCCGGGAAAGAGCATTCCAGGGACAGGAACAGCGAATGCAGATCACAGTTAAGATTTGGTCTGGTAGGGGCTGGAGAGGATGAGCAAGAGGATAGTAGAGGATAATGTGAGGGACGTGACCAAATCATGTCAGCCCTTATGCCTCAGAAAAAGGGCTTGGCTTTTGCTTTGAGAGAGATGGGAAATCATTAGTGGGTTTGAGCAGAGGAGTTGCTTGATCTTATTTGACAGACCACTGCCTTGAAATTAAACTGGAAGAGCAAAAACAGAGGCCTATTGAGGAGGCTACTGCAAGAATCTAGGTGAGAGATGATGTTGACCTGAGGCAAGGTAATAAAGTATGGATGTGGAAAGACACTGGATTCTGCATTTGTCTTGATAGAATAGGTAGAGTTGATGAGATTCACTGATAGACTTTTGTGAGGTCTGAGTGAAAGAGGAAAAGAATAGCACCAAGTGTGTTGGCCTGAGCAGTTAGAACAAAGTTAACATTAATGGAAAGGGAGGCTGCAGGGAGGGTTGGAGGGTTGGAGCTTCGTTTTGAACATAGGAAGTTTAATACTAGACACACAAGTGGAGGAAGGCAGCTTTTTCATGGAAGGAATACAGAACTATTTTAAAATACCAACAACCAATAATAGCTCTTTTCAGAATAATCTAAAAGAAGAATTATTATTGTGTTTATGTCCACAAAATATTTCAAAATTTAAAAAGAGCCTTTTACTGTAAAAAGCTGAAAACAGAGGCAAGTTCAAGTGACCATTTTAGTGGCCAATAAATATTATTTTTCCTTTTCCTCTTCCTTTAATACATGTTGATTTCAAATTTTGGCATCATTATACAGATTTTGAAATCTTAACTTCGGCTTTTAGATTTTTTTTTTTAAATAAAGCTTGCAATGGAACTTTCTGGTAAGAGAAGCCCTAAGGATGGCAGAATTATATTCACTGGTGTCCATGTTATTTTCTTTTGGAAAGAAATTAGATTGTTCACTTAGGGCATGTTCACTTAGTATTTTTTGTGCTTCTAACCTGTATCTTTCATGTCACTTGGTGCTGTTTGGGATGACAAAAGAAGGAAGGCACTGAGCTCAGTGCTCTTGTGAAATTTGCAATGTGAGGTTAAGAATAAAATACACAGTGCAAGTCTTGTGCAAATCCTGCTTGTTTGATTGTGGTTTTAATTCACCTAAATGTGCCATTTTAGTAGCACCAATATGTGATGGTTTGTTTTAATGTCTGCCCTTCTTAGTCTTACGCTGGGAAGTATGTGCCTGCCATTGCCCACTACATCCACATACTCAACCCTGTGACGACCATGAAGATCAACCTGAAGGGAATTGCTCTCGGAGACGCGTATTCTGATCCCAAGTCGGTAGGTGGCTCTTCTTTCCTTTCCATTTTGTTCCTTAAGGAAATGCAATCCCCTTTAATCAGACAGAGGCTCCTCTTAACCCTAGAGACCTAATTTCATAATGGGAAATACTGTTGCTCGAATGACTTTCTAGTGATTTAAATCTTCTAATTTTTACCAAATGTTCTATGGTGTCAACTTACTGTGTCAGCCTAGGTTGGCTGTGAGTGCAAGTGTCAGTGTGTGTGTGTGCCTGTGCGTGGTGTGTTTATGTGTATTTTGTGTATGTATGTGCTGTATGGGTGTGTGTGTGTGTGTTGTGTGGTTATGTGGTACATGTGTGTTTGTGTGGTTTATTTGCACATGTTGTGTGGTAGGTGATGCCTGTGACGTATGTTTGTGTGTTTGTATGTTTTACGTCTGTGTGGGTGTGGTGTATTGTATATGCATTGTGTGGGTTGTGTGTGGGTTGTGTGTATGTGTGTGTGTTGTCTTGCTCCACTAATTAACAAGTTACAGAGGGCTATTTCTCAAGCAGATGGGCTCCCCTCACATCCCTGTCTCTCCCTGTCGTGTCTGTGTTTGCCTCTTTTCTCCTCAGATCATAGAGGGCTACCCATCATTCCTGTTCCAGATTGGCTTGCTGGATGAGCAGGAGAAAAAGCACTTCCAGAAGCAGTGCAATGATTGCGTGAAATTCATCCACCATGAGAAGTGGCTTCAAGCCTTTGAAGTGAGTTCTGTGTCCCACGCTGCCCTAGAGCAATAAGCACCGTCTGAGAAGGTCCTGGAAGCACGAGGTGCCTGGCCTGGTGTTTTATTGTTAGAGAAGCTGTATCCGGGGTGCTGTCACAGGTCAGGAGGCGAGACGAGCGGGCTCATAAGGAAGAAAAGGACCATCTGGGTTTCTTTGAATTTACTTTGGCAATATTTTAAACCTGAGATCACCTCAGGGTGTTTATATAACTGTGTCTTTCATTAACTGTTTTGATTTCTGTACATGCTGTGTCGCCCTCGAGGCATCCCTACTATAGGGAAATCAGAAGAAAGGCAACCTGGAAAGTGGATGCATATGCGTCCACATGTGCTCTAAGCCCTTCAGAGGGGAATATCCGCACACGGGGCTCCAGCTGGGGAAGTGGCCACAGTTTAACAAATGTCACATGTGCCTGTGTATCTGGAACAAAGAGTATAAACGGTGGTGTGGTCGTTTGCAGCTTTTGCAAAGAGCTGTTGGCTTTTGTAAATATCATCACATCACTATCCTAAAATTGAATTTGAGGATCCAGTAATATGATTATGTTCTTGAACCATTTTTTTTTTTTTTGGTTGTTTAAAACCTAAGACTCTACTAAATATTAGGATACGGGGGGGTACTTTGCTGGCCTGTGCAAAGATCATGTGTAAGCAGTCTTCCCTGGAGGTTATGCCACCTTTGCCATAGAGCCATGATGTTTGACCCAGTAAATGTGGTGTGACTGAATTTTGAGGCCTTTAATCTTGTTATTGCAAGCACAGCCTGTCACCGTTAACCTAACAGCACTGTTATTATTAAAGCTGAGGCCTGATATTAATAGTCCTTACGGCGCTGCAGGTCAGCTGGTTCAGATCAAAACAGGAGACAGACAAATTTATGGAGAATAGTGGGGTAACAAAATGATGCTCCGTTTTACAAATAGGATGCCAGGGCACTATCTGAAAATCCCCAGGAAGTGATGCTGTGAGTTCTGACAGCAGCAAGCTGTGTGGGTGCGAGAGCTCAGGAAGTCCTGGGTCACCCTGCAGGATGCTGGTGGGCCCCCTTTCTACTCCAGGACCCTTGATGTGACTGCAGTGTGCATACAGGATTTCTTATGCAATTGTCAGTGCGACGGAAGAAGGATCTTCTTGGAGACATGTTGGGTCATTCTTCAACTCGCAATCACAGTATTTTCAAGACTGGCTTTAGGCTATTTACTGTGGTAGGCAAGAAGGGTAAAAAGGACTAAATTTTCAGAATTTAGAATTAATATAACATTGGATGAGGCCCATCTGCACATGCGACATGCGATGTGTTTTTGAAGAAGCATACAGGGATTAAGCACTATGAAGAGCAAGAATATTTGATAGATTCAAAGGAATAAAGAGGGACTTCTCTGGCAGTCTTGGGGCTTCCCTGAGAGTTCAGTTGGTAAAGAATCCACCTGTAATGCAGGAGACCATGGTTGGATTCCTGGGTCAGGAAGATCCAAGGAAGAAGGGATAGGCTACCCACTCCAGTATTCTTGGGCTTCCCTTGTGGCTCAGCTGGTAAAGAATCTGCCTGCAATGGGGGGAACCTGGGTTTGATCCCTGGATTGGGGAGATTCCCTGGAGAAGGGAAAGGCTACCCACTCCGGTATTCTGGCCTGGAGAATTCCATGGATTGTATGGTCCATGGGGTCGCAAAGAGTCGGACATGACTGAGCGACTTTCACTTTCCCTGGAAGCCCGGTGGTTAAGACTTTGCCTTCCAATGCAGGGGGTGGGTCTGAGATCCATGGTGGGGGAGCTAAGATCCCACATGCCTCATGGCCAAAATACTAAAACATGAAACAGAAGCAATATTGTAACAGATTCAATAAAGACTTGAAAAATGGTCCACATATTTTTTAAAAAAAATGTTGGGGGATAAATAAAGCAGATAGATGTCTGTGGTGCATGCTCCAGCAGCCTAAGCACCCACGGAATTAGTGAAACTGCTGAGAAGTTCAGGTGTTTTGTATATTCTGAGACAATGAGAAAATGGCATATGAGGTCTCTCCCAAACCAGATTCACCAGAAAAAAGAGAACCCCCCGCAAAAAAATACCCTGAAGGTATGCAATGTCTCTGTGGATCACTGGTCCAAAATCTTGAGTGATAAATGAAAACACTTTTGCTTTTTCAAGGGAAATAAAATGATACTTCAGTGAGTCAGCAAGTAGTGGGAAAATGTGTTTCAACTTATGCAATCAGTTCAGTTCAGTTCAGTCCCTCAGTCCTGTCGGACTCTTTGCAGCACCATGGACTGCAGCATGCCAGGCTTCCGTGTCAGTCATCAACTCCCAGAGCTGACTCAAACTCATGTCCATCGAGTCGGTGATGCCATCTAACCATCTCATCCTCTGTCGAGAAATGCGAAAAGCATAGGATGTGAACAATTATTTATTTTCTCACCATGTAAAGAACAACTGTGAACATTTCAAAAAGTTTCTTCTAGCTTTTTATAAAAACCATTTGACAATTCAACAATAGTGGCTGGTACCACAAAAATGAAATAAAACAAGGCTGATGTCTTCCAGCTGGGTGGGGATATCAAATGGTTAAATAAATGTTATTACTGTAGTATTTAGTTCAGTTCAGTTCAGTCACACAGTTGTGTCTGACTTTGCGACCCGATGGACTGCAGCACACCAGGTTTCCCTGTCCCACCACCAGCTTGCTCAAACTCATTTCATCAAGTCAGTGGTGCATATCATATCATCCTCTGTCATCCCCTTCTCCTCCTACCTTCAATCTTTCCCAGAATCAGGGTCTTTTCCAATGAGTCTGTTCTTTGCATCAGGTGGCCAAAGTATTGGAGCTTCAGCTTCAGCATCAGTCCTTCAAATGAATATTCAGGACTGATCTCCTTTAGGATGGACTGGTTTGTTCTCCCTGCAGTCCAAGGGACTCTCAAGAGTCTTCTCCAACACCACAGTTCAAAAGCATCAATTTTTTGACACTCAGATTTCCTTATAGTCCAACTCTCACATCCATACATGACTACTGAAAAAACCATAGCTTTGACTAAATGGACCTTTGTTGACAAAGTAATGTCTCTGCTTTTTAATATGCTATCTAGGTTAGTCATAATTTTTCTTCTGCGGAGCAAATGTCTTTTAATTTCATGGCTGCAATCACCATCTGCAGTGATTTTGGAGCCCCAAAAAATAAAGTCTCTCACTGTTCCCCATCTATTTGCAATGAAGTGATGGGACCGGAAGCCATGATCTTAGTTTTCTGAATGTTGAGTTCTAAGCCAACTTTTTCACTCTCCTCTTTCACTTTCATCAAAAGGCTCTTTAGTTCTTCTTCACTTTCTACCATAAGGGTGGTGTCATCTGCATATCTGAGTTATTGATATTTCTCCTGGCAATCCTGATTCCAGCTTGTGCTTCATCCAGTCCAGCGTTTCTCATGATGTACTCTGCATATAAGTTAAATAAGCAGGGTGACAGTATACAGCCTTGACTTAGTCCTTTCCCAATTTGTAACCAGTCTGTTGTTCCATGTCCAGTTCTAACTGTTGCTTCTTGACCTGCATACAGATTTCTCAGGAGACAGGCCAGGTGGTCTGGTATTCCCATCTCTTGAAGGATTTTCCACAGTTTCTTGTGATCCACATAGTCAAAGGCTTTGACATAGTCAAAACAGCAGAAATAGATATTTTTCTGGAACTCTCTTGCTTTTTCGATGATCCAGCAGATGTTGGCAATTTTATCTCTGGTTCTTCTGCCTTTTCTAAATCCAGCTTGAACATCTGGAAGTTTGTGGTTCATGTACTGTTGAAGCCTGGCTTGAAGAATTTTGAGCATTACCTTGCTAGTGTGTGAGATGAGTGCAGTTGTGTGGTAGTTTGAGTATTGTTTGGCATTGCCTTTCTTTGGGACTGGAATGAAAACTGACTTTTTCCAGTCCTGTGGCCAGTGCTGAGTTTTCCAAATTTGCTGGCATATTGAGTGCAGCACTCTCACAGCATCATCTGTTAGGATTTGAAATAGCTCAACTGGAATTTCATCACCTTCACTAGCTTTGTTCATAGTGATGTTTCCTAAGGCCCACTTGACTTCACATTCCAGGATGTCCAACTCTAGGTGAGTGCTCACGCTATCATGATTATCTGGGTCTTTAAGATCTTTTTTGTATAGTTCTTCTGTGTATTCTCGCCACCTCTTCTTAGTATCTTTTGCTTCTGTTAGGTCCCTACCATTTCTGTCCTTTATTGTGCCCATCTTTGCATGAAATGTTCCCTTGGTATCTCTACTTTCCTTGAAGAAATCTCTAGTCTTTCCCATTCTATTGTTTTCTTCTCTTTCTTTGCACTGATCACGGAGGAAAGCTTTCTTATCTTTCCTTGCTATTCTTTGGAACTCTGCATTCGAATGGGTATATCTTTCCTTTTCTCCTTCACCTTTTGCTTCTCTTCTTTTCACAGCTATTTATAAGGCCTCCTCAGACAACCATTCTGCCTTTTTGCATTTCTTTTTCTTGGGGATGGTCTTGATCCCTGTCTCCTGTACAGTGTCATGAACCTCCATCCATAGTTCTTCAGGCAGTCCGTCTATCAGATCTAATCCCTTGAATCTATTTCTCAGTTTCATTGTATAGTCGTAAGGGATTTGATTTAGTGAATGGTCTAGTGGTTTTCCCTACTTTCTTCAATTTAAGTCTGAATTTGGCAATAAGGAGTTCATGATCTGAGCCACAGTCAGCTCCTGGTCTTGTTTTTGCTGACTTTATAGAGCTTCTCCATCTTTCCTTCTCTATCATTACTTTGCCAACAAAGGTCCGTCTAGTCAAGGCTATGGTTTTTCCAGTAGTCACATATTTGGATGTGAGAGTTGGACCATAAACAAATCTGAGCACCAAAGAATTGATGCTTTTGAACTGTGGTGTTGGAGAAGACTCTTGAGAGTCCCTTGAACTGCAAGGAGATCCAACTGGTCCATCCTAAAGGAGATCAGTCCTCTGTGTTCATTGGAAGGGCTGATGTTGAGGCTGAAACTCCAATACTTTGGCCACCTGATGTGAAGAGCTGATTAGAAAAGACCCTGATGCTGGGAAAGATTGAAGGCGGGAGGTAAAGGGGACAACAGAGGATAGATGGCATCAATGGACGTGAATTTGAGTAAACTCTGGGAGTTGGTGATGGATAGGGAGGCCTGGCGTGCTGCAGTCCACAGGATCGTAAAGAGTCAGACTGAGCTACTGAGCGACTGAACTCACGCACTCACTCCCTCAGTCTTTTTCTCTTCTCAGTAGTTATCTTGTTCTCTTTACCTTAGCTGCTCATTCCCTTTTCCACCTGCAAAAAAAAAAAAAAAGCCGGAAATCACTCCACAATCTCAGATGCAACAAACTCTTCCCCCACCTGCCACCTCTGGTCCTCCCAGCTCACTTCTCCAAACATACCCATGTGAACTATCACCCTACAACTGCATTGTCTTTCGATCCATGGATCCTACTGCTCCTTCACGGCCCCCCACTCCTGCAAGTCTTAACCTAATGTAAGCCCAAGCTCAGTCACACATATTCTCAGCCTGTGCCCCCTTTGCACGTCCTCCACCTCCTTTGGCCAAACCACAGTCCTGGCTAAATGCCCCTCTCCACCGCGTCATGCCTGCCATTGTGCAGCTCAACATGACCTGAGGAAAACACACTATGTGCCAATTGCTCTCTCGGTTGCTGACTGGGTTTTCAATGCCAGCAGTCCAAAGCTTACTTCCACCAGTTTCAAGCACCTGGGGGTATGTCTCCTGCCCCCTCGGACCTGGGTGAGTGGTCAGTGGTCATATTATGATAACCCTTCCCCACTCTTGCAGTTGGGGCTTTTGGGCCTGCTGTTTTCTCTCCTAGGAGTGTTCTTTTCCTAGATATCTGCATGCCTTGCTTCTTCCCTCCAACAGGTCTTTACTTAAATGCCACCTCTTAAGTGAGACCTGTCTCCTCCTCTCTGCAGTGTCCCCTCCGCCCACCACCGGGTACACACATGCCCACACACCCATGACACTTCCCCTTCCCCTTCTCCTTGTTAGTTTTCCCCTTTGCCCTCACCACTCTCTAATACGCTGCATGTTTTACCTATTAATGCTTGTTTAATGTTCTGTCTAGAATATAAGCATTTTTGATCTGTCTTGTTCACCACTGTTTCCCCAATGCCTTGGACAGTGTCTATAGCACAGAGAAAATGTGCGGTGAATGATTGTTGAATGAAGCAATGTGGGAATGACGCAGTTATTGAATAAATGAAAGACAAATGCTTGTACTTATTTACCTACCCTGATGTTGTCCTCATTTCTTTATCTCCTCTCTCCCAACCTAGTTACTGGACCGACTACTAGACGGTGGCTTAATAAGCGAACCTTCTTACTTCCAGAATGTTACAGGATGTTCTAATTACTACAACCTTTTACTGTGCACGGTAATGACATTTAAAAAACCATAATAGTGTTTGCTTAAAACTTTTGGCAAAACCAAACTTCCTCAGATTTGGGAAATATTGTAGTTGACTTTACACTAGAAAAACATGTCCAAACTATATTGCATTATTTGGTCTACTAATCTATAGGATCTTTTACCTTGCCAATGTTGTATACTGTATAATCTGACCATTGAGAATGTGTGATATTCCGGATAACTCAAAAAGAAAAATATCTGATTAACACAATTTCCCCCCAGTAGAGCTTGTTATACAGAAGTTCTTTTGTGAAGGAGAAAGGTCAGGATTGCAACTTTGGGTATCAGGCCCCAGAGCTCCAGGCTTGTAGTGAGTTTCTTGAAAATGCCCACATTATTTGTTCTGTACTTAAGACAGCTTGGATAACCCAAACTGCCAGAGCCTTTATGAAAATATTTGCTTTGTCTTACTTTTAACTTAAGATTTTTAATGCATTTAGTATGGCCCTCACTTTAAGCCCTTTGGAATATTCTCAAAGTATTCAAGTAGTTTCTTTCATAAAAGTATGCCAAAGTTGATGTCTATTGTGTAGCTTTAATCGAATAAGACAAAGGGAGCCAGAGTGGGAATTTGAAATTGTATAATCCAAGTCTAGGGTATATGACTATGCATTCTGTTTTTAAAATTGCCTTATTTATGAACTATTTCGTATATAATATATAAAGCTAACTTCAATGGAATTTGCCAGTGCTGGGGTTTGGGACTTAGATTTGACCAAGAGAAAAACATTTGGTAGGCAAGAAAGAAGCAAAATTTATAACTCTATTTTTTTCTTCAAAAAGTAATGTATTCACAGTTAGCAAAAAATATTGATGATTCACAAAATTGTTGATTTCAAACTTTAACAATTTTTTAATTATTTCATAACTTTTTGTAAAAAACAGCATTTAGTCATTTTTTTTCCTTTTAGCTTAATGAATGTTACAGAGACTTATGCAATGTTTTTAAAAAATAAGGCTCGTGGACAAGTTTTCTTTTGATTTATGTCCTTCATAAAGTATCATCTATTTTTACACTTGATATATTTTTCCTCTTAAGTTATGGAATCCCAGGGACAGAGGAGCCTGATGGGCTGCCGTCTGTGGGGTCGCACAGAGTTGAACTTGACTAACGCGACTTAGCAGCAGCAGCAGAGTATTTTGTGTATGTGTTTTTAATAAAGAGCAGAACACAAAAAAGAAATCCTCATCTTTTAATCTACCACATCACTTCCCTGGCTCCTTGTGGTCCATTTCACCTTCTTTCCCAAGAGCCTCCAACAAGGAGCAAATTGTCTTTGATAATCTCACCTCTTCATCTTCCCTATCCATCTTTGTCATGAAGGAGGTTTTTAATTGGAGTCACAGATGGCCAAATATTAGTTACAAAAAGGAAAATCCAGCATTTGCAAATTGAATATTGGCTCTGAGAGTATCAGATGATCCAGACTTTTTGGATAAAATTTGAAGGAAGTGAAGTCGCTCAGTTGTGTCCGACTGTTTGTGATCCTGTGGACTGTAGACCACCAGGCTCCTCTGTCCGTGGGATTCTCCAGGCAATAATACTGGAGTAGGTTGCCATTTCCTTCTCTAGGGGATCTTTCCGACCCAGGGATCGAACCCAGGTCTCACTCATTGCAGGCAGACGCTTTAACCTCTGAGCTAAATCTCCTCAAAACCCCCAAGTCAAAATGTTCAGGATGAAGACCAGTTAATAGTCATGTCACGTCTTGTTCATTGTGGTATGGAAAAGAAGATGTTAGTTACTCAGTTGCTCCATTGTGTTTGACTTTTTGTGACCCCATAGATTGTAGCCCATCAAGTTCCTCTTTCCATGGAATGCTCCAGGCAAGAATACTGGAGTGTATAGCCATTCCCTTTCCCAGGGGATCTTCCTGACTCAGTGATCAAACCTGGGTCTCCTGCATTGCAGGTGGATTCTCTACCACCTGAGCCACCAGGGAACCTTCATTTTGGCATATGTTAGGAAAAATCTGAAGCGTTCCCCAGCATGGGGTGCCCACCCAGTCGTATTTCCTAATGTCTTTTTGATGCCCCTTCTGTCAGGAGCCTGATGACCAAAGTTACTACGGGAAATTTTTGTCCCTCCCCCACGTGAGACAAGCCATCCATGTGGGAAACCAGACTTTTAGTGATGGAGCCAAAGTTGAAAAGTACTTGCGAGAAGATACCGTCAAGTCGGTGAAACCATGGTTAGCCGAAATCATGAATAATTACAAGGTAAGAGGGCTACTGGAGTTGCTATCTATTTTAGGAACTTTTCAGATTACCCAGAGTAGGCGTGACCTTCTTTTACTCGTAATTCAACTGCTACCATATTTTACTCTTCTGATATCTTACAAATGTAAATAACAACCACTGCATTGTTTGATTTCTTTGAATTAAAAGTTCTTTTTTTTCCTTTTAATTAAATCACTTTCCCCTACTAGTTCCTAAAAATGAAATTCTCTTTGGCACATGCCATCTCTCATCATTTCTTGAGAAAAGAGGGATAACAGAGCCGGGAAGATGACTCGCCTTGTGTAAGCTGATTTTCCCCTATTATTTGCTTTATATTGTTAATCCCAATGAAGTCAGGGATAAATTAAATCAACTGGTTATTCCAAAAATGCTTTTTGCTTGATAATTGCATTCATTCAGATCATTCAGCCATAGTTTCTTCAGTGTCTACTTCAAGCCAAATGTTGGGCTAGGCTGTCAGGTTGAAGTGATGAATGAGACAGGGTCCTTGTTTTGAGGCATGTAGAGTCAAGCACTGTAGTATCTGACTGAGATGTTCTGCCTGACTCAATGCTGAAGGTACCAGAGGTTCAAGCAAAGGAGCTATGACCCCTAGAACTCTCACCGTGAGGGAAGGACTCCACGAGCAGGTGACAGAGGGAAAGTTATTGTGCATTTCTTTGCCTTTTCCTTCTCTTCTCACCTCTTCCTCTGATCTTCTAGGACTGTTAGCACTGGTCCTAGGCATGGTTTGGGAACAGCCCGGTAGGGTAAGTGTGCTAATGACAGAGAAGATCACCACCAGAGGTGATCTACTTTTTCTCTGTTTCCTGGGAGTGGCAAGAGTAATGATTGGGATGAAAAAAAAAAAAAAAAACATGGCAGTAACCAACAAGTGAATTAGACAATGTACTAACTCAATAAAGTATTCAAGTACTTTATTTCTATCTAACTAAAAAATTGTCCTGATATACTGCTTTAATTTGAACCAGACTCTTTCCTGCCATTTTATGACATAAGGAATACACATTTCAGCACTGTCTGTGTTGGGACTGTTCAGTGTACAACCCTTAGTACTGTCTGGGGAGTCCTTGGCCTAATACAGCCTTACTAGATTGTATTTCAGAATATGCCCAACCTAAAAGACCTATTTTCTGGTCCTGCCTATAGTACAAAGAGTTTCAGTCCAGTCCCTGGACATACAACTTTTATCCCAAATAACCTAAGGTCAGTGATATGCAGACTCTACAAACCCATTATAAATCTGGAGAACTTGACGAAATACTTTCTAGGCAAGAAAGAGTCTAACTAGATGAGGTCAGACTTTCAACCACTGCTATCTCTGGTTCTGTTGGGGAAATGTAGTGAGTGGTCCTTAGTGCTTGCCTGCTTGGAGCCTTCTCTGAGCAACTTCCCGGTGCTCGGCTGGTTGTCCTCTTCTCTGAACTCTGTGACCATGTGGCCTCTACTGTTGGGGAGCACACTTAGCACCCTGTGCTGCCATTATGGGCTGTCAGTTGTAGCACCAGCCTCAAGCAGACATCACTAATGCATAAATGAATAAATGGATGAAAGAAAAGTCAGTTCTATAAATTAGTGCTATATCAAAAATATATCTATTAAACTTGTTCATAATTCATCATATATTTATTACCCACAAATTTATTAAACCAAAAAGAAACCCACATCAGTTTCTGTATAGACTACTTAGCATTTATGTCTTCAAGATGAAAACAATTGGCTATAACATTAAGGAATGCACAATGATTTTCTTGAGTAGAAAGTGAAAAAAGAAGTTCCCATGTATATATTTTGTGCCCTTGGAAGATAGATTTTCTTGCTCTGTAAATTCAACTAGAATATGATTCCTTTCTCAACCAAAGGAGGATTGCATGGGACATGTAGTTCACTTGATGATGTAAAACTTTTGATACTGGCTCATCACCATACAGTGTCCACTTGGTTGTTGAAAAAGAATATGCTAATTAAAGATGAGCCTGAGTTTTGATATTTAAACATATCTGTCTCTGTTTCCCATGGATCCTAAGCCTGCCAATAGGAATCCCGATGAAATCAGAATATTTTCTAAACTTTCAAACTCTCAGTTGCAGAAAAAGAGAATTAGATTTGTGGTGCAGATAAACCATATTTCCAGAAAGAAAGAGAACAAAGTATGCAGTCAGTCTGAGTGCAGCCCAGAAAGTGGCTGCTGCTAGAACAGACTGCATATTCATGGCTGGAGCTGGCACAGGCTGCAGGGTAGCAATTATCTTTGGCTTGTCTGCTCATGGTGGTGAACCTCAGTGTGTATGCAGTGGAATCAGAACAACCTAGGCTGGCTTAAAACATTAGTACCCTCGAGGATATATTTATGTAAGACTCAGTGCTAATTTGTCATAGAAAATAGTGCACATGTTTCTATTCATAAGAACATGGAAGTCTTTTTTCTAGTACTAGATTCATTTTAGCCAATGTAGAGTATTCTCTGATGGGCTGAGGAATACCTTCATTGGTTTCTGGAAACTTATAGAACTCTTTGCAGCACATCAGTTTCTGTGTAGGCTATGTGAAGACATAACCCTTTTCTTGTGATGACCTACTTGGGATGTGTACTTAAAGTCATTCTCTTTTCAGTAATTTTAGATATTTGTATGGTAAATTTGAAATATCATATTAGCAGTTTCCAAGACAACTGAGAAATAATCTGTTGGACTGTTGGAGTTACTGATGATTAAATCAGATCATGGTTAAATACAAATCTTATTAGGAGTAACACAACCTAATCCACCAGTGAATAAAAAAGATGAGGTTGAGTTATCTCATAAATGCGAGAACATTTTTGCATTAGAAGTTCCATCATGCAGTGTATCACCTAAAACATTGAAAAAATAAAAAACATTCATCTTAATAGATGCAAAAACTGGATTTGACAAAATCAAAACCCATTTAGGATAAAAGTTTAAATTTTTTTTAATTTATTCATTTATTTATTTGGATGTACCATGTCTTAGTTGCTGCATGTGGGATCTTAGTCCCCTAACCAGGGACTGATGCTGTAGCTGAAACTCTAATACTTTGGCCACCTGATGCAAAGAACTGACTCATCTGAAAAGACCCTGATGCTGGGAAAGATTGAAGGCGGGAGGAGAAGGGGATGACAGAGGATGAGATGGTTAGATGGCATCACTCATCAACAGACGTGAGTTTGAGTAAACTCCAGGAGTTGGGAATGGATGAGGAAGCCTGGTGTGCTGTAGCCCATGGGCTCGCAAAGACTTGGACACGACTGAGCGACCAAACTGAACTGAACTGAACTGAACCAGGGATGGAACTCAGGACCCTTACATTGGGAGCATGAAGTCTTAGCCACTGGCCACTAGGAAAGTCCCAGGATAAAAGTTTATAGTGTACTAGGAATAGTAGTATCTGTATTAGATTTTTATGCTTGTTGTAATGAATTAGTACAATATTGATGGTGTAAACTACAGAAATTTATTTTCTTACCATCTAGAGGTTAGAAATCTGAAGGAATTCTCACTGGGCTGAAACCAAGGTGTCAGTAGGATGACTTTAATGGGACAATCCATTCTGGTTTCTGGTGGCTGTTGGTGTTCTTTGGCTTGTGGGCAGATGATTGCAACATCTCCCTCTGTGCTCACATCGCCTTCTCTTCTGTGATTAAACATCCTATTGCCTTCCTCTTAGAAATACTCATGAGGTTGCATTTAGGGACCTCCTGGATTATCTCCCCATCTTAAGATGCTTAAGTTAATCAAATCTGCGAAATATTTATTTTTTAATTAATTAATTAACACTCTATAAGGTGACATTCACCGGTTCCAGTGATTAGGACTAGATATGTTTTCACAGAGCAGTATTTAGCCTACCATACTATGAGACTTTCTTGACCTAATAAAAACCTACATGTGTGAAACAGACAGCTAGTGATAAGTTGCTGTAGAACACAGGAACCTCAGCCTGTGTGACGACTAGGGTGGTGGGATGGAGGACTGGAAGGGAGGCTCAAGAGGGAGGGAATGTAGGTAAACTTGTGGCTGATTCACCTGTTGTCCTGCAGAAACCAATACAACACTCCTCCAATTTAAAGAAAAAACCTACTAGTAAGCATTATTCTGGTCTATAAAACTTAATATACATTCTCTTTAAAATCAGGGTTATAGTGATGCAAACAAAAAATGAAAAGGAGGGAAATCCAATTAATAAATGTATAAGAAATAATGGAATAAAAATTACTATTTGACAAATAGTACAGCAATAATTGTTTCAGGAAAGAATCATCAGTGGATAGTAACATCAGTTAGTGAAAGTATGATGAGAATCAGAATATTTACCTGATCTCAAAGTATCCCCTTTCAAAATGTTTATGATGAACGGGAAAATAGTAACTATCGTGAAGAAACCTGGCACATGAATGTATACGTGCTGTTGCTCAGTTGTGTCCAGCTCTTTGCAACCCCATGGACTGTAGCCCACCAGGCTCCTCTGTCCATGGGACTTTTCAGGCAAGAATATTGGAGTGGGTTACCATTTCATACTCCAGGTATCTTCTTCACCCAGGGGTTGAACCCAAGTCTTCCGCATTGGCAGGCAGATTCTTTACTACTGAGCCACCTGGGAATTCCTCATAATGGGACAAATCTACATTATGCATCTCCTGATGTGTTGTACTGAGGACACAACAATGCTAATGTGTGTTGCCGAAAGCTTATAGCAGGAGAGTTCCCTGGTGGTCCGGTGGTTAAGAATCCACCTGTCAATGCAGGAGACACGGGTTTGATTCCTGGTCAGGGAAGATTCCGCATGCCATGGAGAAACTAAGCCTGTGTACCACAACTACTGAGGCTGCGTGATAAACCCTGGTGGCCACAACTACTAAGCTCACCTGCCACAGATACTGAAGCCCTTTTGCCTAAAGCATGTGCTCCACAACAAGAGAAGCCACCCCAGTGAGAAGCCCGAGCACCGCGATCGGAGAGTAG